CAGATTTTACCAATTATCTCAACAATACTTTTTAGACTTGTTTTGTTTGAATCAGTATCCAGACTTACCTGAATTTGCTCAGTCTGTGTCTCTTTATAACAGTTCTCTCCTCTGCTTTTAGTCCTGCCATATATTTGTTAAAGAAGCCACGTTGTTTGTCCTGTAGTACTTTCTACATTCTGGATCTGGATGACTGAATCATGATGTTTGTTACTCAGTGCATTCCTTTGTCTTCCCCCACATCTTATTTACTGGTAATTAGAGTAGAACAGGGTTTTTGAAGCTCAGCATTATTGGAGTCTTCTTGGCAGCTTCCTGGGGCATTGTAGGAGGGTTAGCAGCATCCCTGGCCTCTCCCCACCAGATGCCAGTGGCACTGCCTGAGGTAGCTCTAGACACTGCGCAGATTGCCCATCTGAGAAGCACACGTCTGGAGACCTAATGGGGAAACATCTAGTTCTTCTTTTGTCAGGCACTCCCCACAGTATGATGACTGACAGGCCGTGTCAGGCCTTGGTCTCTGGGCGATGTAAGATGGATCAGTGGGTCTCTTCTCCACCTGATTCTCCATCAGGCTTTTCCCTCACCGCTCCAGTTGGAGATGTCACTAAGGTCACAGAATGTGAATTTATAATTCTATCTTTCTGCATTTGTTGTTTAGATCTTTTTGTAAGGAAGATCTTCATGAAATATTTTTTTTTTTTTTTTGGTTTTGGTTTTTCTCCGGTACCGGGAACCGAACTCACTACCTTGTACTTGCCAGGCAGGCGCTTTGCCGCTGAGCTAAATCCCCAGCCCCTTCATGAACTATTTGGTTACTTTGAAACATAGTTTATATTGTATTAAGCAAGAAACATACTTTTTATTTATGAGTTTGCAAAATAGTTCCTAGCTGCAAATATAAACAGTGAGAGATTTAATAAGATTCTTATGTCATTATGAAAGTTTGGATTTAATATATTTGATATCATTCAGCCCTCTGAAGTTACTGTTACTTCTGATGTTTAAATTGTTCTCTCAGCCAAGGGTAACTCCTTTGAGTTGGCTTTTTGCCCTCCTCACATTCCTGTAGAAGTCTTTTTTTTTTTTTTTTGGTTTTTCTCCGGTACCAGGAACTGAACTCATGACCTTACGCTTGCCAGGCAGGCGCTTTTGCCGCTGAGCTAAATCCCCAGCCCCCCTGTAGAAGTCTTCAGCAGTGTCCTGGTTGTTGTCTCTAACACCATGTTCCAGGACCATTTTGTACATTTCTTGCACCATAACTGGAGTTGGCCATTTCTCAATACTACAGGTGTCTGTCTGTTTCTTCCTGGAGTGGCCCTGAACCAGTGACAGCTCAGCACTGAGACTGAAGGTCAGGTGGGAACCCTGGTGTTCCAAGGGAGCTAAACCTTTATTTGCACCTAGAATGGCTTCTTCTTGTCCCCGGCGTGCTTTCTCACTTTCTCACTTGTTTCTGCTTGCATGTCTCGGTCCCCTAGCTGGACCTGACCCTGGGCTACAGTCAGAGACCTCATGGTGGTCATTGCTACTGAGTTCTTTTATTACTTTCAGGCTTTTCTGTGGATTTTTTTGTTTTAAAGAGAAAAATACATTATTTTGTGGCATTTATAATTCAATTTATAATTCAAATAGAAGATTACAGAATTTATACCTTACTTCATTGACTTGTATTTGTGTCTTTTATCCTGAAAATGTTATCTTTTCAATTTCCTTATTCTGTTTTTAAGTGACTTCATTAAAAAATTATATTTTCAAATCATATGCTCATATTATGTAGAAATACGAGCAGTTTTTATCTGTTGATTTTGTGTTCAGCCCCAAAGTCACCAAATGCTCTTGATACTCTACGGGGTCTTTCTGCGATTCATTTTTTTCTAAGTGGACACAGTTATACATCTACAAATACATTATTTTTGAGTCATAGAATCTTTAAAGTCTGCTTCCCAATTTGTTTCCAAATGTAAAATTTTAATTTTAATCTTTTTTTTCTGATTATATTTTAATTTCTGATTTAATTGTACTGTAATTAGAGAGCGTGACTTGTGTGACAGTTTCCTTTGAGATTTATTTACTGTTGCTTATGGCTTGGCAGTATGGCCAACTTCTCATGGTCAGCTTTTATAAATGTTTTATATGAATTTAAAATGTATATATTTTACCAAATTTTGGGAGCCTTGGCTTCTTATATTTATCTGTTAAATCAAGTTTGTTAGTTGTGTTGCTCAGATATTCTGTATACAGTATTCAGTAATAGTGCACAGATGGCTTACCAATAATTGGAAGAGCTGTTTTGAATTCTGTTTCTTTGTGTATACTTACCTTTTAAGGTAATTCTCAGGAATACTTTAGAATGTATGGTATAGTATAAAAATGATCTATTACGGTACTAAGCACTATTACATGAATTTCTGAAATAGTAACTGTGCCTCTGAATTTATTTTGTATTTTTTTTATCTTTTATTGCTTCCTTTAAAAATTTTCTATTGAAGCTGATCTGTAGTGTTAGGGGAAAATCCCTATTAAAATATTTAAGTAATTATCCTCTGTAATAGGATAATTACTATTATCCTATTATATACCTCCTTTTTGTGTTAAAGTGTAATTTTTGGAATGAATACAGTTTTCTGGGCTTTGTTCCTTTTAAATAAGCATTTTCTAAGTATATCTTTTTCTATCTTTTGATTCTGTGTGGCCTTAGACTTTAGGCTTGTCTCTTGGACTCTATGTGTCCCTTATCCCAGTTGTTCCTACCTTTGAGCAATTTCTTTCCCTTTCATATCATCTATTGTACATTTTGAGTTTTACTTACTATCTCAGGTTCCTACACCAGGGAGAAAATATGATGTTTATACATGTGGGTCCAATTTATTTCACTTATGAGTATTGTCTCTAGTTGCATCCATTTACCTACAAAAGCCTTGAGTTTATCTTTTTTTTGTAGCTGAGTAATACTCCATTGTATAAAAATACCACATCTTTTTTATCCATTTCTCAGTCGATGGGTGTTTGGGTTGTTTCCAAGATTTAGCTATAACAAATTGTGCTGCTGTAAACATGGGTGCACATATATCACTATAGAAATGCTTTTTAAAGTTAAAAGTTTGGTGAAAAAGTTCAGGTTGCTGTCAGAAAGCTACTGTGGACCCTCCCACAGCAGCCTGGTGTGGCTTTTCGCTGTGGGCTCATCTACATGGGGCCATGCTCCTCCTCTTCTAGCTGCAGTGTCATTCACCTCTTTTTATGTCCTTTAAACTCCCTTAGGTATTTTTGCCACCCATTATATGGTGCTTCATATAAATACTGAATATTTTACTTACCTGGTCTATAATTGCATGTTTTTAATTTTTAACAATAATATAATTTATTACAAGCTGGGTGTGGTGGCACCAGCCAGTAATCCCAGTGCTCTTTGAGGCTGAAGAATTACCTGTTTAAGCCCAGCCTGAGCAACTTAATGAGACTCTGTCTCAAAAAAAAAGGTTTTTAAAGGGTTGGATGTGTAGCTCAGTGCAAAGTGTGGAGGCTTAATCCCCAGTAAAGGGGGAGAGGGAGCTTATAACAAAGATTTCGTGACTACTAATTTTTGTGTGAATGCTTAATTTCCTTCAGAGATGTTTTATGAATAGAATTTTATAGTATTGAAAAAGTCTTGCTAGTAACTTTCTCAGAGATTGTATAGTTTATGTTTTCTGCAGAGGTTTGACAGTACTGTACTTGTTTCAAAAGAGATGGCTTTCAGAGTGCTTTTAGGCAGGTTGTCTTCACTCTGGAGCTGACGCTATATGCTGTGGCTGTAGCCCTTCTTACTTTCAGCCCAGGCTTCCCCAGCCCAGCTGCTCTTTGCAGGAGTCCAGAGTAGCCACTGGTTGAGGGGGAAGCTGGAGACTAGGTCTTTACAGTAGGCTCTGAGGATAAGCACCTTCATCTGTGTTGCTCTTTCTTTAAATTTTAGTTTTTATTAGTACATGTTTTTGATACATAGTAATTGCATGTAGTGGGGTTTGATGTGTGCATACATCACATCTTGGTCATGTTTACCCCCGCCCGCCACCCCCCCACCTTCCTGCCTTACTTTCCCAGGGCTCCTCCGTCTCTGTTTCTTAACATAGTCTTTAGAGTGTTCTTTAAATTGTTTATGGTTATAATTTTGGGTCTCTCACATTAGAGGTACCATGTGATGTTTTGCCTTTTGTGACATTTTTGTTACTTAGCGTCCTCTTTGCTTTTATCTTCTTTAAAGAAGTAAAAATGAGACAAGGCAGTAGGAGGTGGCTGAGATTGCTGCACTGTCTCCCTGGATGCCCTCAGGTGTCAGGAACTCTGTCACCCATCAGAACTGAAATATGTATTAGCATAGTTGAAAATGAAGACATAACGGGATTCTACACAATTTACCTAGAGAGGAACAAAGCTCACAGCCATTTTAACCCAGGGAATTTGGTTTTCAGGTGCAAAGCAGTGGGTGCGGGGATGAGAAGACACAAGAGAAGCTGGGAGGAGTAGTGAAGAATGGAAGCCCAGCGCCAGCCCAGATGCGAGGGTGGCAGGCAGGGGCCTCCCTGGGTCCTCCCTGGCAGGAGGGCCCCTGGGCCAGGTCAGGTTAGACAGAGGTCTCAGGAGCACTTGTGGTTCTGGGGGTCCCAGTCAGCTCCTGCTCTGCCTTCCTGCTGATCCAAGACCACAACAGGTGCAAGGAAGGACTCCTCAGGCTCTGACATGTCAGCACTCATGGAGGCATGGCATCCACACTGAGGGTGTTGTGCCCAGCCAGTGTCTCTCCCCTCTGTACCAACAATGTGGGAGGTGAGGAAGTGCCCGTAGAGGTCTGTAGCAGGTGGTACTCTGTCTCCATTTTCGCTGCCTCAGTTGTGTTTGCCTGGGTATAATTGTGTTCTTAGCCACACTCTTCCCTGGGTGGCCTGCCTCACTTGTGTGTGGCACTTGTGTGGGCTTTATGGGTGCTGCACCCCTAACTTGGAGGCCCTATGTCCTTGTAGGTGGTAACGTGGACCTGGAAAGCCAAGCAGAGGGGAAGAAGGAAGTGGAAGCTGATGATGTGCTGAGGAGTGGCCCCCGGCCCATTGTCCCGTACAGCTCCATGTTCTGTCTAAGCCCCACTAACCTGTGAGTCTCCACACGCACCCTCGCTTCTGCTCGCCCTGTCTGCCACTTGCTGGACCCATGTGAACACAATAGCCAGCACGCACAGGATGTGCAGTCTACAGGGATAGACTGTGCACAGTGTTCACTGAGCTCCTCTGACTGCCCAGCAGGCACTCCCTGTCACCTCCTCCTAAGGTCAAGGACACAGAGGCACAGGGAGTTGTCTGTGGTGGAGCTGGGGTCAGAGCCCATGCCCCTCCAGAGCTCCATTGCACACAGGGCCCGTTTGTCTCTGTTGGACTTAATGCTGTCCTCCAGCCACCTCTCCATTGTACTGTTACCATGTGTGCATGTGTGTGTATTGCATGTTTACATGTCGATCGTGGGTCCCCTCTTGTGTTTATCACAATCTGCCGTCCATTCATCACCGTAGTGCTTTCATGAATCCAGCCAACCTTAATGTGCAAATAGCATTCTAGGCTCTGGTAATACACAGTGGTGACCAAGAAAGGCAAGAATACCTGTCCTTGCCAAGTGTGCGGGGGTCTGAGCTAGTGGGAGAGAAGGACAAGCAAGACAATTCAGGAGACATAAAATGTCAGCAGTGAGTGCCAAGAAGAAACAGGAAGTGGAAGTGGATAAGTGGGCTGTTGGGGGCCAAAGTGAGACAGAGGTCAGAAGTGTGGTAGAGCCAAGCCTTGCGGAAGGGCTGGAGAGCACTCTAGGGAGAGGTAGCAGAAAGGGGAGGCCCACAGATACCACCAAGGGAGGAGGCCAGAAGATGAGGGTCAGGGGACAGCAGTGTCAGAGGGTCCCTTGCTGATTTGCTGTCCCTTCTCCCCTCGCTCCCTGCTCCCCCTCTTCTTTCGTTCATCCACACACTTATTGGCGGCTAACCCTGCTGTGCTAGGGGGTCGGGTAAAATGGTAACAGACTTAGTGTGCTGAGGAGGCAAAGGGTGACCATCAGGTAAGGACAGCACAAAGGAGGAGTGAGTGTTCCTTAGAGAACAATGCTCAGCAGAAGCAGCGCTGCAAGTAGCTCATGCAGCTGAGCTGGAAAGCCGGAGAAAAGCAGCTACTGGGTGTCCTATCGAGGGCCTCAGTGGTCACTAAGGAGCATGGAGGAGCATGGGAGGAATGCGTGGTGGGAGCCCACTCACTGGGGGAGAGAAGCCCATTCAGTAGGTGATCAAGGAAGAGACTGGTGCAGTTTGACCAGGGTAGTCATTGCAGAGAGGCTGAGGTGGAGGTGAGGGGCAAAAGCAGGAGGAGCTGGCGGCAGGTAGCCCCTGTGGCAGGAGAGATGGACTGACCCCTGTGCTGGTCCCTCGCTGCTGCTTCTTGCCCACCACTTGGAGACTGGCTTTGCTGGCCTTGCTACTGTCTGTTGCCATGTGGTAGCATTTGTCAGCATTGCAGAGCCTCCTGCTCACTGGTGTTCTGTCTGCTGGTGTGGAGCTCTGTGAGGCCAGACACTTGCCTGTCCTGGGCACTCCTGTGCCTCCATTGTCCAGCAGATGCCCAGTGAGAGTCAGCAGGTGCCTGAGCAGGAGGTGAGCATGTGGCAGTGTGTTCTCATGCAGCCTGGGAACATGTGCCCAGCACAGGCACCAGACACCGTTCTGAGAGTGAGGGTGGCCTGCTTTCTGCAAGGGTTGGTACTCAGATTCCACCTCTCCGATCCAACCCTCCACGTCCTGCAGTACATCTATTCTGTGTGGAGCCAGATGGGCAGTGGTATCACCTGGGGCCACATATAGTAGGTAGATGGGTAGATGCAGTTATCGTTCCTCATTCACAGAAGGGCACCCTGTGAGCTGTCATTTGCTAACCCTGACTCTAGGGTACCCCCTCAAGAACCTGTCACCACCAGTCACCTGGCTGCTGTCCACTGACCTCAGGGACACTTGGCACAGCCCTCTCTTGTGCCATAGTGAGAGTCCTTCCTCCAGGAGAGGGTGGCATGTGTTCCACCTCATGGGCCCAGTAGCAATGTTGTGTTGTCCTCACAGGCTTCGTCGCTTCTGCCATTACATTGTCACCATGCGGTACTTCGAGATGGTCATCCTTGTAGTCATTGCCCTGAGCAGCATTGCCTTGGCTGCTGAGGACCCTGTGCGGACAGATTCATCCAGGAACAACGTGAGTGGCTTTAAGGGCTGAGCCTGCTGCCAGGCTATGGGGTTGCATGAGGCAGGTTCCCAGGGCTGCAGGGCTGGCGTGGTGCCTGGAGGTCCTGTCTCCTCACCTGACACCCTTCCTCCCTGTCTGTGTCCTCCCTCTAGGGGTATGGGTCAGAGTTAGGACTGTGACTGGAGGGGTCCTGGCCCCCGAGGGACACCTGTGTTCCCCCAGATGGCTGACAGTCATCTGCTCAGAGGTCTAGGGAAAAGCTGGAGCCCTGGGACTGTCCTGGCTCTGTTTCTGGTCCAGCTGTGGAGAGTGACCCTCCTTTTGGTTCCAGGTTCTGAAGTACATGGATTACATCTTCACAGGCGTCTTCACTTTTGAGATGGTGATAAAGGTGAGCCATGTTCCCATGGACCATGGAGTGCGTTGGGGGTTGCACAGACAGGACTGTGCTCAGTGATGCTGTGGGTCTGCTATGTGTCATGATGTATTCTGAGAGTCACTGAAGGGCCTCTGGCTGCATGCTGCCCTTTGGGTCACTCCCAGTGGGACCTGATCTTGCTACTTGGCTCCTGAACACAAGGGTCATGGCCATGTGTGGGCTCACCAACACTTCAGATTCTCTGGTGTACTCAGAGGAGGGAGCATGTGACATCGGTGAGAAGAGAAGGAGACCTGGGAGCATGAGGTGGCTGGAGGGCTGTGGGAGTGCAGGCCACAGACCAAATTCAGTGAATGTTGTGTTTCGCAATACTTGGAGTCTACCATGCCACTTCAGCCTTCACTTTCCCTCACAGAGTGACCCTTATCCACATCTGATGGGGGCTCTTGTGTGCTTGCACCAGTGTGCATGCAGTGCAGGTGGACATGCACACATGTGTACACATTCACCGCTTCAGTGCAGCTTAAGGTGTGACATCCTTGTGTGTGTGCACTCAGGAGTGATTTTATGTATGGAGCACTTAAAGGGGTATATGAATGTATTACCCTACTATTTCACATACAGTAAAATCTGCTGGAGGGTGATTCCCATGGCACAGATGAGATAGTTGTGGCCTGGCTGGCTCTGCCTTCCTGTCCTGGGATGGAATGCACTCTCCAGTGTGATTCTCCTTTGCAGATGATTGATTTGGGACTGTTGCTCCACCCTGGATCCTACTTCCGGGACCTGTGGAACATTCTGGACTTCATTGTGGTCAGTGGGGCCCTGGTGGCCTTTGCCTTCTCGTAAGTAACACACTTGCTCCAGATCTTGTGTGTGCAGCCCCAGAACCGTGGTGGGGCTGGGTGAGGAGGAGGGTCAGACCCCTGTCAGCCTTGCTGGGTGTTCAGCAGCTGCCCATGTGGCTCCTCCCTGCCTGCCTGGTTAGGACCAGGGCTGGGCTGTGGGACTAAGCCCTGCCTGTCTCTAACTCAGCCTAGGGTCTGGGACTAGGTTGATGTACAGGCTCTGGCTTTTTGGCTTTTGTCTTTCGGGGCCGTTTGGAGCAAGTTTACCTATTTGGAGGCCAAGTGCCTGGCTGGCGTTTTCCACCCCCAGCAGAGCTGGTGGACATCTTCCCCTATTGGGGTGGGACAGTTTGCTCTGATCCTGAGGTGCTTAGCCTGGCAGTGGCTGGGACTGGAGTGGGGGCTCCCTCAGATCCTGCATGGAGGGCATGGTGCTCAGCTGGGCCAGGGGGGAGATGCAGGGGAAGTCATGACTGAGACTGAGAGATGGGGAGGACCCTGGTAGAGGCCAGATACTGAGGGAAGGCTGTTCATCTTCTCTGCCCCCACTCGACCCTCCCACAACACTGACTCTGTTCTTTTTGTCTTCTTGTTGCTGGACTCTCGGTAGGAGCTTCATGGGGTAATGCCTTCCCCCACCCCCACTGCCCCCAACATCACAGCACGCCATGGCCTCTGCCATCCCATCACATTGCGCTCATCCACCTCCACCTGCCTGGGCTGCATGCTGCCAGGGCCATCCCCAGGCATCACTCCAGCCATGCCTGTGGGGCTGGGTGGGGGTTGGGGCAGGCTGGGAGTTTGACGTGGTGAGGTTTCCATGAAGCTGGGCGTCTGGAGCGAGCACTGGAGGCGGAGAACTTGACCCATAGGACAAGGAGGACCTGGATGGGAGCAGCTGCTGTGGCTGTAGCCCAGGGTCTTGGTCACCCTAAAATGCCATCCTGTGTGGCTTGTCTCTCTGGAAACGCTGGAGCTTTTTTTGCTCCTTTTCCTTACCAGTCTCTGCGACTCCGCGAGTCTCCTCAGGGTGTTTAAATGGACCTTTCTTCTAATGACAGGAAGCAAGAACTTGGCCAGAGTGTCAGCCAGGGACCTACAGGGTTTCAGAGAGGGCTTCAGTTAGGACCAGGGTTCAGCCCTATAGCCCAAGTGCAAGAGAAGGAAGCAGGTTCCAAGCCCACAAGACTGCCTCCCTGGAGACCCCTCCCCAGAACCTCCCTCCTCTGCCTTCCTGCTCTGGGCCACTGTGCAGTTCACAGCAGTCCCTTCTGTACCCCCTTTGGGAGCACAGAGGACACAGGGTAAAAGGTGTGGGGTGCTGCTCAAGGGTGTCAGTGTCGATGGTGCTGGATGATGGGAGTATCTGAGCCTGGTGTCTCAGGCAGCTTGATCTGGTTTGCAGTGGAGTGTTGAGGAAGGAGTGGGGATTGAGCTGCACTTTTCCTGGGAGAAAGGGCTGGGATGCACAGTTCCTCCCGCTCAGCACAGAGCTTTGCTGGCGCCTGAGGGAGCCGCAGGGGCAGGGCTACCATTGGGTGCAGGCCAGGCTGGGTGTTTTGAGGAGTTGCCTCTGAGCAGCCAGGGCAGGGTCTGTGGTGGTGGGGTGCTGCCCAGTCCTAAGTGCTCACTGTGGGGGTGAACAGGGCTTCCTCAGTGGGGAGCTTCCCACATAGCAGACCTGGCCGAGACAGCCAATTCCTGGGTCCCCAAGAGGCAGAGGCAGCCACCTGGATCTGCTCTGGCTGTTGTGAGGGTCCCTGATCTGGAACTTCTAGTTTTGAGCTTCTGAGCCTGCTTCTAGTGCCTGAAATTTTCTTCTGAATGCCTCTCTGTGTTAGCCCTGTGTCTGTATATGTCTTTCTCTTTTCCTTACTCTTCTACCTTGGCCCTTCTTCCTTGTGGTCAGTTTCATATTACATACAAGAGGATGGGCTCCTGAGGACAGGCAGGTGGACTTGCAGAGCAAGGGCCAGACAAGCCTGTCTGTAAGAAGTAGGGGAGAACTCTTCCTCTAGCACCAGGAGCAGGCCCTAGCACCACAGGGTTTGCTCACAGACTTCCACCTTTGGGCTCTAGCCACATGCCAGGGCCCTCAGTGCTCTTTGTTGCTGGAAGCTGCTTTGGGCCAGGTGTCAGGGAGCCACGGAAGACGGAAGTAGCTGCTGTGGTCTGAGGGAATGGGCTCGTTCCACCCACTCAGCTGTCCCTGTGCACCATACCTGCTGAACTGGCCCTGCCCTGGGCCCTTGTCCTCATTAAGGCTCAGTGCAGGCAGCCACAAGGGGAAACCTCCTGAGCTGGATCCTCTGCCCTGGAGCTTGAGACAAAAATCCACAGGGCAGTGTGAACCATACCTTGGGCTGGGAGGAAGCCATGCATACCCTTGCATCTTGCCTGTCTGCATCTGAGGCTTCTCCCTTTTAGAGGATCCAAAGGGAAAGATATCAACACCATCAAGTCCCTGAGAGTCCTGCGTGTCCTGAGGCCCCTGAAGACCATCAAACGGCTGCCTAAGCTTAAGGTAGGAGCCTGGAGTTGGGGCTTGAGGGACGTGCTGTGTGTGTAGTGCATACGTGTAAGCTTGTGTGGATACATGTATGTGTGTATTTGTGTTTACTTGCGTCTTCTCAGATCACCCATCTGCGTGAGGAGTGTGGGCTTGCTCAGCCCTGCACTCCTCAAGGAGAGCTAGTTCTTAGCAGTCTCCTGTAGCCCCCATGAGGCCAGATGTTTTCTTCAGTGCTGCAGGATAAGGAAGGGCCTGCCAGGGTGCATGAGATGGGTGGAAGTTGCTGACAGGGTCTCCAGAAAGCAGCTGGTGGTCTGGGCCCTTTAGGGTGGGCACAAGCTGAGGTTCTGGGTTAAGGAAGAGTGTAAACCTAATCTTAATAATTACTAAGCTTATGCACTCTGTCCTTTAACTCTTTCAGTCATCCAGAACTTCATGTTGTGGGCTTTCATAACAGCTGGGCAATCAAGCCTTTGAGACACTGGGCCATGCAAGAACTATACTGATACCTTGGTTATTGAATGGCTCCAAGCTCACCCTTTGAAAAAAAAAAAACTCTGCTTGGTGTTTGTAACTTTCCTTGATAGTTGAACCAAAAATCCTACTTGAAAAAACCTATATGGGCCAAGAGTGAGTCGTGCTATGCCTCACAGAGGACACAAAAAGGGGTGATGCTTCAGTCTAAACACTGTTCTCACACAATTTATGGTGCTTATGTTAATGTGTTAAAACATTCACAACCAAAGTATCACTGTACAAGAAAAAAGTTTATTTAGAACTTGCATTTGGAGGAGCAGGTGACCTGGGAAGATGTCAGAGCCTCCAGGCCAGGCAAAGTCATGCCTGGTTTAGCAGGGGAAGGGGTGGGTGCCTGCCAGCCAGCGTCTGTGGAAATGTGGGTCTGCAGGGTCCAGGAGCAGACTGCACAGGAAGGAGAAGAACCTAAGAGAAACTCAGCGGGTGGTAGTCACAGGCCAGAGCTGGCTTGGGGCCCCAGAACGTGCCCAGAGTCCTACTGATGTCCCCGTCTCTGGGCCACAGCCTTGCTGCTTTGTCCTCAGTCTGGCCATCCTTCCTGCTGATGGGCAGGAGCAGGGAAAGGACAGGAGGAAAGGCTACTACGTCTCCTGACAGGTGTGGCCCCTCCTGGGTTTTTTCTGTGACCTGACTTGAGTTCTCCTGGGCATCCAGCCTCTTCTAGCACCCCTGCTCATGCCATCAAGAGCAAGATGACCTCTTCATGAGTGAAAGATAGTGCCCATTTAGCCCTGTGAAGGTGTTGGCAGTAGTGGCTTCCATGCTCCGGGGCCTCAGGTGCCCCTAGATGTCTGGGCCCCAGTGGCCCTGAGTTTCCCAGCTTGTGACTCCCTGTCCTGTATTCTCTGTTGGTCTGACCACACCTGCTGTGCTTAGCCTCGCCGCCTCCACCTCAACCTCTGGGCAGCACTCAGCACTTCCCCTGTTACCCAGCCCCCTTAAGGCACAGCCCCCTCAAGACCGCTCCTTCCCTGTGACCCTACCCCTCCCTCACACAGCTCTGCTCTCCTGCCTACAGGCTGTGTTCGACTGTGTGGTGAACTCTCTGAAGAATGTTCTGAACATCCTGATTGTTTACATGCTCTTCATGTTCATATTTGCCGTCATTGCAGTGCAGCTCTTCAAAGGGAAGTTTTTCTACTGCACTGATGAATCTAAGGAGCTGGAGAGGGACTGCAGGTAAATTGAGGTGGGGTGGGGAGCACTCAGGGCCAGGATGGAACTCCTCGTGTTCCTCATGGACCAGATGGGACTGGTCATGGCTCAGGAAACTCCTCTGCGAAGTGGGGACACATAGTGGGGCATGCTTGGGTAATGCTAGTAACGAAAAGGGACCTCCAGCCTCGCCTGAGTCCCCAGCATGTCTTCCTACACATAGTCAGAGACCAGCTCTGCTCTGAGGGACTCCCTCTGTTTTGCCTGCAGACATCCAGGGATCTCACTGAAGCCAGCAGGGTATTCTGGCCCCGCGTTATCTCTAGCTAAACCCTAGCTAGAGATCTAGCCTGGGCTTACAGGGTCAGAGGGATTGACCCAGTGATAGCTGGAAATGCTTTCACTATCTGTGGGATGCCTCAGATCTTCCTGTCTCTCCCTACCCTGAAGACAGCCTGGGGACATCCCTTTGGGGAGGAGATGGCAAAATGAGCACCCTACCTACGCAGTTCTTTCATACCTCCACAGCAAAGGTCTCTGTTGTCTCTGGTTACGTAGATGTTACACAGCTTACTGATCCACTCAGTCATGGGTAGACATGTGGGTAGTTCCCACGGGGAGCTGTCCGGAGCAGTGCTACTATGAAAATCCCACTCGGTATCTGTCAGAGGAGCATGTATGGGCATTTAGAATGTCATCTAGGAGGAGTCCTGGGCTGTGTTTGTGTTCTGTTTTGCTGATGTTAACTAAACACTTGAATGAAGTGATGCCTCTCCAGCATGGATGAGAGTTCTTTATTCTCACTTAATGTCTCCTGTCTTGCCCTTCCACTTTTTTGGACACAGTAGTTTGATTTACACTTGTGAGATGACTAGTAAGTCTGCGCCTCTTTTCCTGCTGGATTGGCTTCTCAGATGCCCTTTCCTGGGTAGTGTCTATTTTGAGTATTTACCTGTGTGTTGTTGGTCTCTATAGGTTGATTTGTAGGAATTCTGTCATGTTCTGGACAGGGACCTTCACATGAACTGAGGATTATGTATGTCTTTTCTTCCTTTGTGGGGTGCTTTGTACTCTTTCCGTGGGGTCTTTGAAGAACACAGTGTAAAGAACAGTGGTGTCTTCTAAAGAGCAAGATTTCAGCATAATCTCACTTACCTTTTACAGTAGTACCTTGGTTCATGAGTTACCTTTTACATAAGTACCTTTTACAGTAGTACCTTGGTACCTCAATTCATTCCAGAATTCTGAAAAAGATGGCCAAGTTTGTGTTCATGCAGAAAAGATGGCCATGGTCATGTTTGTCACCCAATGTAGAGTTTGTAAACAAAAGCAAAATTTTGTCAAACACTTGTGTTTGAAAACCAAATTGTTCACAAACAAAAGCGTTTGTGAACCGAGGCATATTTTTCTGTGTTTACTACTCTCTATCCTTTTTAAGAAATATGTCCCAAGGTTAGGGCTATTTTCTTCTGAATTGTTATCTCTGCCTCTTACCTTAAGATCTAGTCTGTTGGAGCCACTTTTGTGTTGTATAAGGCATCGACAAAGATAAAGATAGGTGTTTAGTTACCGAATTTATTGGACAAAATAATTCTATCCTCACTGCAGTGATATCCTTTGGTGTTTTTAGCAGTTTTATTGAGATATAATTCACATGCTATACAACTTACTCATATCCTTTTAAAATATACAGTTCATTGGCTTCTAAATATTCATATGTAGATATATATATAAACATCACCACAGTCAATGTTAGAACATTTTTATTACCTCAGAAAAACCAAAATCAAAACTAGAAGTATACCTGATGAGAGCAGGAGAGAGAGAGGGAGAGGGGAGAGAGAGAAGAGACTGGGAAAGAGAGAGAAGGGAAGAGCCAGGGACAAGATCATACCCTTCCAGGGCATGCCCACAGTGATCTGCCTCTTCTGACCAGGCTTGGAGTACATTCAACTATGCGCTCATGCACTGATGAGTGTAGCTCCCCTATGGTCAATCACCTTCCAAAAGCCCTACATCTGAACACATGAGACTTCAGGGGTCCTTTTAGATCTAAACCATAACATTCAGCACCTGGCCTCAAAAAGCTTGTATTCATCTTATTATGCAAAATACATTTAGTTCCTAAGAGTCACCAAAGTATTAACAGTTCCATTATGCCTGAAAAGTTCAAATGTAAAACGTCCTCTGAATTCAAGGCAAATTCTTAGCTATGAGGCCTTGTACAAATCAGAAAAAAAGTTAAATACTTCCAACATAGGACTGCACAGGGTAAATATTCCCATTGTAAAAGGGAGGAATAGAGGGCTATAATGAAATTGGACCAAAGCAAAACTGAAAACCAGCTAGGAAAACGTTAAATCCTGTAATTCCATGTCCACAACCCAGGGTGAGTCGTGGCAAGATGTAGACTCTGGATGGCCTGGGCAACCTTTCCCCTATGATGTTGCAGTCCACATGCCCTGTCTCTCAGTCTGCTCTGCTTGTTAACTTCTGCTTTCCTTGGTGAACATTTCATGTTCTTGGCATGTTTAATTTCCTGAGGTCTCCACTACACATTCAGCTTCATTTTTACAGCTTTGTGCATTGCCGTCTCTGGGGCACATTGCTTGACCTCCAAGGCCTTCCTTTGTAATCTAGGTGGAAGTCTCCATGAATCTACAACTCTTATATTCTGCATGTCTGAAAAATCTTCATGAATTGCTGCCAGTTGGAATAATAACCTGGCCCCCTTAGACCATGGCTGGAGAGGCCTCTGAGTACATGAATGGCTGAACTTGGGAAAACACTTCCCTAGGCAGCCTGAAATGAGCAGTCCACTCTGGGACTCTCCTCTCAAAGTCTTTCAAAGGAGTTTATCCTTTTTCACCATTCATCCTGGGATAGGTGGAGTCTGGCTATTTCCTGAGATGTCCACAAGGCATTGTTCTTACTTCCTTGATGCAAAGTACTTGACTTCTTTTCAGTGCTAATCTTTCAGCAGTCATGCTGTCATTGGCTCCAGCTGTATATATACTTCCTTTTTGGCCAAGTTGCAAGATTTTTGCATCTTTCCACTCAATTTTTGCTCCTGATTCTTACAGATCTTGCTACAAGCAGCCAACAGAATCCATACCATAGCTTGAACATTGGGCTGCCTTGAAGTTTCCTCCACCAAAGTAAATACTCCACACCTTTAAATTCAGTCTCACATAAAGTCTTAGGACATGGGAAAAATGTAGACAAATCCTTTGTCAGTATCACTCATAGCCTCTAGTTTCTAATAGAGGCCTTGTGCCTGGCCTTTACTGTGTGCATTTCTGTCAGCATTCTGATCTTTTGATCTCTGATCAATACTGCCCATCAAACACTACTTACAACTTTCTATGGTTTCTCTAGCCTGCTTCTCCAAACTTTTCCAAACATTTCCTGCAAACCTTCAGAAGTTTTAGAGACTTCTGAACCACATGATCAAGTGTAGTCACAGACATGACCTCACTCCTGACACCCATTTTTTGTATTAGTCATCTTCTCCTATCACTGGGACAAAATACCTACCACCCACAGTTTAAGAAGGAAATGTTTATTTTGGCTCCTGAATTTTTTTTTTTTTTTTGAGACAGGGTCTTGCTCTGTAGTACAGGCTGGCCTTGAATTTGCTTATATAGCCCAGGCTGGCCTCAATCCTCCTGGCTTAGACTCCTGATTGCTAGAATTACAAGTGTACACCACCATGCCCAGTTTGGCTCATGATTTGATTGATTGATTGATTGAGACAGGGTCTTACTATGTAGTCCAGGCTGTCCTTGAACTCACTATGTAGCCCAGATTGGCCTCAAACTCCCAGCAGTCTTTTTGTAGCAGCCTCCCAAGTAGTGGGGTTACAGACATGTGCCACCACACCTGGCCCTTGGCTCATGGTTTTAGTGGCTGGATCCAGGGCAGAAATGGCATGATGGATGGACATAGAGAAGGAAAACTGCTCAACCCATGGCATCCAGGCAGGAGAGGGAGGGAGGGGAGGAAGGATGAGAGAAAGAGGAAAGGGAGGAGCTAGGGACAAGAATACACCCTTCCAGATCATCTACCAGAGAGCTGCCTTTTCTTTCTGGTTTTTTTTTTTTTTTTTTGGTTTTTTTTTGTTTGTTTGTTTTGTTTTTTTTTTCAGACAAGGTCTTACTATGTAGTGCAGGCTGGCCTTAAATTCACTATGTAGCTCAGGCTGGCCTTGGACTCACAGTGATCCTGCTTCAGCCTCCTGAGTCCTGGGATTACAGATGTGCACCACCATACCCGGCCCATTCTGCTTTTTCTGACTAGACCATACATCTTATCCACTGATGAGTGTAGCTGTCCATTGTCTGTTACCTCCCAGAAGCCCCACCTCTGAACATAAGACTTCTGGGGGACATTTGATATCTAAGCCATAATATGACTCTGATATGCCACATTTTACTTCTTTATTCACCTGTTGATAGACTTGTGGTTTATTTCTACCTCTCAATTATTAAGGATAATGCTACTGTAAACATTTGTGTACGAGTTTTTGTATAGACTTACGTTTTCCTTTCTTTAGAGTATACTGTACACCTAAGAGTGGAATTGGTGGGTGATATGGTAGCTGTATTTAACTGTCTGAGGAAATGCCAGACTGTTTCCAAAGTGGCTGAACTATTTTGTATTCCCCAGTCATGTATGAAGGTTCTTGTTTTTCTATATCCTTGCCAACAATTATTTTCCTTTTTGTTTTTAGTTACATTCATCCTAATAGGAGTGAAATGATGTGGTTTTGATTTTCTTTTCTCTGATGACTGATGATGATGAGGTCTTTTTTATGTACTACCCTTTGTATGTCTTCTTTGGGGAAATATTTATTCAGATACTCAACCCATTGTTTAAATTGGGTTGTCTTTTTTATTGATTGTAAGAGTATTTGTATATTGCAGATACAAGTATCTTGTCGGATAGGACTAACAGATACTCTCGCATTTTGTGGTTTGCTTTTTCACTTTCTTGATAGTATCCTTTGAAACACAGAATTTAAAATTTTAATGAAGTTAATTCTATGTGATTTTTTTTTTCTTTTGTTTCTCTTGATTCTGGTTCCATATCTAAAAATCCATTCACAAATATGGGGCCATGAAGATTTACCCCTATGTTTTCTCCTAAAAGTATTGTAGTGTTAGCACTAACATTTAGGTCTTTGAATCATTTTGTGTTACTTTGTACACTTGGAGTGAGGTTAGAGTTCAAATTTGTACTTGTGTATCAAAATGGATGGAAATCCAGTTGTCCTGGTGCCATCTATTGAGGAGGCCATTCTTTCCACATAGGATGGTCTTGGTACCCTTTTCAAAATGGGCTGACCCAAAACACATAGGTTTATTTGGATCCTTTATCTTCAACCTCTCCTTCCTTGTGTTTCCATTCTCAGGGGTCAGTACTTGGATTATGAGAAGGAGGAAGTGGAAGCACAACCAAGGCAATGGAAGAAATACGACTTCCACTACGACAATGTGCTCTGGGCCCTGCTGACACTGTTCACGGTGTCCACAGGAGAAGGGTGGCCTATGTGAGTGCTCCCAGCTTAGGGCAGCTGGTTGGCAGAGAGGAAGCTGAGGCAGGCCCTTGTGAACTCAGCTCACCCCCTCCAACCCTAACACCCCCACCCTCATCACTGGTCTGCACCACACCTGAACTGTCCCTGTAGTGCAGGTTCTAATCTCCTGGGAAGCTCTCTTGATGTCTGTTGTCCCCTTGGCCAGGGTGCTGAAACACTCCGTGGATGCCACCTATGAGGAACAGGGGCCAAGCCCTGGGTTTCGCATGGAACTCTCCATCTTCTATGTGGTCTACTTTGTGGTCTTCCCCTTTTTCTTCGTCAACATCTTCGTGGCCTTGATCATCATCACTTTCCAGGAGCAGGGGGACAAGGTGATGTCTGAATGCAGCCTGGAGAAGAATGAGGTAGGTGGATGCTCTGTTCACTCTGTGATGGGCAGTGTGGGCAGAACTACCTTCTGTGCATACCTTACTTATAGCGAGCACAGGCAGGACTGCCTTCCTCCCGCAGGAGTGTACTTTCTATCAGTTGGGGCCTGTTTGGAGGAGGCCTGGGCTTGCTCTGCTGCCTCTTCTCTTGTCTGGGCTCCCCACGGGGCACAGTGGGACAGTACTGGGTACAGTATAGTAGGACCACAGGGCTGGATACCCTCTGAGTTTAAGGTACTGTTTCTCTCTGTGCAGAGGGCTTGCATTGACTTCGCCATCAGCGCCAAGCCCTTGACTCGGTACATGCCTCAAAACAGACAGTCATTCCAGTATAAGACGTGGACATTCGTAGTCTCTCCGCCTTTTGAGTACTTCATCATGGCCATGATAGCTCTTAACACTGTGGTGCTGATGATGAAGGTATGTGGGCAATGATGGTGGGTGACCAGCCAGCACATGTGGAGGTCAGGATCCCCGACTGCTCTCTGTGTAGCCTTCTTCCTGCCGGCATATATCATATACCAGAGCTGCAGTTGCTTCACACCCAGCCTACACAGAGAACTTGTGGGATCCCAGTGCCTTTGTTGTCTGTGGGCTGAGGCAGTGAGAAGATTCTGGGAGAACTCAGGGGAAAAGCAAGGAGGGGTGTCCCACGCATGGGCAGGTGTGGCATCTGTCTGCCCCTGTACTTGGGTAAGAGGTCACAGTGGACGCCAGTGGGGTGTCTGGGGCCACTGTGCTCTCGGCCATTGACTCTTATTCCCTGGGCAGTTCTACGATGCACCCTACGAGTATGAGCTGATGCTGAAATGCCTGAACATTGTGTTCACATCCATGTTCTCCATGGAATGCGTGCTGAAGATCATCGCCTTTGGGGTGCTGGTATGTGTCTTGACTTCTTTTTCGCCTGTTTGTGTCCTACACTTTGCTCCCCCTGTCTTGGGTGACCTTTGGGAGCTCAGAGTTTGGATCGGGAAATTCTCTGAATCCTGAGAGGATATGTGACACTGTGGGAACTCCAGGAAAGAAGCTGCACTGGCACTCTCTACTGCCTGAGACTTGCCCCAGCATGGTCCTCAGACACAGGCAGTGCCAGAACATACATGTGTCTCTCAATTCTGCATCTTCCAGGCCAGAGGTGTCATCTGCTTGTCCCTGGCCTTGTGTTGAGATTCCATCATCCTTGCCCCTTCTTGATCAAGGGCCACCATCTACACCAGTTGTCAGCACTAACTGCTCTTCTTTTTCTCTAGAACTATTTCAGAGATGCCTGGAATGTCTTTGACTTTGTCACTGTGTTGGGAAGTATTACTGATATTTTAGTAACAGAGATTGCGGTAAGTAGCATTTCTTACCTCCCCTCTGGGGACCCAAAGTGGTTTCCTTGTAGAGGGTGTTCCCTTCAGTGCATCTCCAGGACAGATGGATGTACCTCTCCAGAGGTGGAGCTTGGGGATGGGTGTTGTGTGTCAAATGCTCTTTCTTGGATAAGAAAGTAGCTCCCAGAGGTCTTCTAAGCTGGTGGTCTGAGAATCCTCTGGAGCTCTGTGGTAACAGCTGACCAAGGAAACATCAGTCTTTAAATTTGTGCATCTAATGTATACATATCTAATAATTTAGTCTCAGAAATACACACATCAAGCCCAGTAAAGTATCAGGTTTGAGAGATAGATTGGTTGGTCAGTCAGTCTCTGTCTGTCTGTCTGCCTACCTAACCTGCCTACCTGTGTCTGTCACCTGTCTATTTATCTGGAGATATTCATGTCAGAGGAGTAGATTATATCTGAAAATTGACCAGTGATGGGACATAAACTCACCTCAACAGGGGTCAAAGAATCTGAATTTAAAATTTTTTTTTTAGTGCATGACATTAAGTTGGAAATAAATACCAGAAAATCTCATTTGTTTGCCTCAGTTTGAACTTTTGGGAGCAGATGTGTATAGTTTACTTCTTAAGAAAAAACCACTGGGACCATCGCTGGGGAAGAGGAGGAGGATCAGCAGTACCCCATCTTGAGCCATATTCAGGGCAGCGTTTGGGTCATCCCCCAGGGCACCTCTGAGATGGGGTGGGTCACCCCTCAGGGCTGGTCCTGCAGGGAAAGGGAGCTATGGATTTTTCTGCCTCTGCACTGCATGGGGCTATAGGCTGTACCAATGCTCAATTCTTAGATACCTCCTGCTGCCCTGAGTGTAGTGCATATAGGCATGACAAGCTGAGGGGCCCTGTGTGCTATCATTTAGGACCATGATGTGGAGTATAGGCTCTTGTCTGGCCCTACTCGGCTCTACTTACACTCATGCTGACTATGTTGTGTATTCTTCTGAAAGTCCTAGCCAAGTGCTCTGGAAGACAGATGAGCTCCCTGCCATATTGGTCTATGTGTAGCTGATATCATCCTCTTGTCCCTCCACCATTCCATCTAGAGCCTGTCACCTGGTGAGCCTTCTCCTGCTCTGGCTAACCTGATTAGGTGCCCAAGACCTGCTCACCATTCCCTTCTCTGATTCTGGCTGCTGTGATAGTTGAGTCACAGTTAGGACTGGCCGTAGAGAGTATCTGGGAAGGCACGATGGAGCCTCTTGGCAGACTTCTCCCTAACCCATTATGTAGCAACAGCTTTGCCCTTCACAATAGTCAGGCTCAGGTACTTTGGTCAGTAAGAAAACTCTTTGCATGGCCTGCTTGTCATCTGGCCAGAGGATTCCCATGGCCAAGTAGCCATGGCTTTGCGTAGGCCCTGATCGTAGCTTTCCCTCCCCCTTTGAATGAGACCTGTAGATTTGCTCAACCTAAAGTTGTAGTGAAGTTGAACACTTACTCCAGTTCTCTGGAGAGTTGGTGAGAGAGGCCACCCCTGCCTTCCAGATCCATACATTATATTGATTGGGCACCATACTGTCCCAGTACTGTCTGGTTGTGGTTCACCTTGCAGTGCAGCACTTTAGCCTTCTGAGGTACATTGCCAGCCCAGCATTTTATCTGTGCTTCGGATTCTGTTTCAACATTTTATCTGGGTGCTGTGGTGGTTGAGACACCAGTGGATCATCCTGTGACCACTGATACCTTTGCTTGCCAGGAGTTGATGTTATATGGACTTCTGTGTTAGTCAGTCTGAGGCCAGCTTGCAGAGCTTTGTGCAGGCCAACATGCCTGGGATACGGTGGTGCCCAGCAGAGGAAAATCACTACCCTCTCTAGGTGAAGGGTACATGTGGGTCAGCATACCACTGAGTGGCCGGTTGTAGCTTCCTGGCACTGAATAGAGGCATGCTATGGGTAAGAAGTCAGCACTGGCCAGGACTAGGTCAGCCTTGTGATGAACTTGGCCATCATGGCCACTCCATTCATGGTTCTGTCGTGTGCCTCTTGGGAATGGTGAGGACAGAGGCTGCCTGGCATCTGTCATTCACTCATCCAAATACTTTTTCTCCTATGGTCCTAGGGATTGAACCTAGGGCCTTCAGCATGCTAAGCAAACACTCTAGTTCTGAACTATATCCCTAGCCCTCTGTATTTTTAACATTTTGACACAGAGTCTAGCTGGGTAGCCCAGGCTGACCTTGAACTCAATGATCCTCCTGCCTCAGCCTCCTAAGTAGTTGGAATCACAGTATGTACCACCATGCTCAGCAACCAACAGTTTGTGTTTTTAGTGACTCTACAGCCATGGTTGCACTCTTGTAGGCATCTGTGTGCAATATAAAGGCCTGCATATCATGCCCATTCTAAGGACCATCAGTATGCCTCTTCCCCAAACACCATTCTCATCAGTCTCTGGACCAACTTTCACCCCTGCCTAGTATCCTGGAACCCTTAGAAGGCAGCTGCTTTGTTCACACACACAGTGGCTGACAAGGGTAATGCCTCACCACTGTCTTTCAGGCTATTCCTATGTAGAGCTCTAGTGAGGCCTGCAGTAATACATCAAGGCAGTCCATCCATAAACCAGTTCTTCTCTGGGTCACCCCTCCTAATTGTAGTGAGCCCCTCATGGAGCAATGGCAGGGTGAGCTGAAGAATACATTGATGTAATGGATATATGGGCTGGTTGCCAAGGAATCCTCAGCTGGCAGTTGGTGGCCACCATTAACCTGAGTGGTGTCATGCTCTTCTCCCCAGAGTATCCCTGTGCTGCCATTCTGGGAACCAGTCAGCTGGTGGTATATAGTAGATCCTTCTAGTGTATTCACCTGTACCTCATTCATTTATACCCAAGGTGAGAGAATCAGCATTTTCATTCCTGAGCATACCAGGCATTATTGTCACATTGCTTACCACCCACAGAGGAGAATCTAGCCTGTGAACCATCCCCAGGGGCCCCATCTTTAGTCTGCTTACAAGGGGCCAAGTGTCTTAGGGTCAGAACCTGTGACCCAGGTGTGACTTATTAGGATATGTTCCCAGTAATACCTGGGAACCTTGGATGAGGAAGGGAGCCAGTGTCAGCTCCATGGCATACTTTTGGTTTAGAAGGTCTGAGGCAGGGTTGTGACTACACACAGGTACGAGGAAGAAACAGTAGGATGTTTTGAACAGCTTTGGCCAATACATTTGAAAACTTAAGTAGATAAATTACTAGAAAAATATAAAGAGTCAAATCTGACAAGATTTAGATGTTTTATTAAAGTATTAAAGGAATTGAATCAATAATCTTCCTACAAAGAAAACACCCTAGTGTTATGGTCTTGCACAGTGTGTCTGTATCTAAATTACAAGGAAGAACCACTCCAATGTTAAACAACTTTTTGAGAGAATAAAAAAAAATGAACATTACCTGACTGATATTAGGTGTCTAGTTTGTTGTTTATTTAATTTTATTTTGAGGCATGGACTTGCCAGGTTGGCCATGGCTGGGGTCAAACTTCTGAGCTCAAGTGATCCTTCTGCCTTAGCTCCCCAAGTAGCTGGGAGTACAGGCAAGTACCACTGTGCCTACCTGCCTGCTATAATCTTTACAACAAAATTTTGAGAAAAGAATATAAGGAAGATCATAATATAAGAATATAAAGAAGATAATATGAGGAAGATCATAATCTACACATGCTAATGGTGGAAAATCCTACACAGTATATAAGCAAACCAAACCCAATAGAGTACAGAAAAGAAAATGTGAGTCAGGCTTATTCTAGGATTGCAAAATCCAACTCAGAAAAATCTGTTCCTATAATTTACATTGATAGCTCAAAGGAGACCATTAGTGTGATTGTCTCATAGGTGCAGAGAGGACATCCAATAAAATTACAATTTTTAATGATAAAAATGACTAGCAGAGTTATTTACTAGATAAAGAGTATCAAGAAATCCTGTATAGATATAGTGGTGAAATTTAGAATGAATTCCCTTTAAAATCAGAAAAGGGCAGTGATGCCTCTTATCACTTCTTCTTTTTAACATTGAGCTTTTGCGGGGCTGGGGATTTAGCTCAGTGGCACAGCGCCTGCTTAGCAAGTGCAGGGTCGTGAGTTCAGTTCCTGGTACCTGAAAAAAACAAAAACAAAAACAAAAAACAAAAAACAAAAAACACTGAGCTTTTGGACCTGGCCAGTTCAGTAGGTTAAGTGTCAGATCCACAACACAGAGGTTTTTGCCTGTTTTGTTTAATGTCTAATGCTTTGGAGCATTAAGTAAATACTTAATGAATAGGACTAAATAAATACATAAATGAAATAGGTAAGGATTAGAAAGGGAATAAGCAAAACTATCATCATAAATGCTGTTATTATCTAGGGTAAAACCTAGGTTAGTCTTAAGACTATTTAGAGTGTTTAGCAAGGTTGCTGAATACAAGATTACTCAAGTAAGTCAAATGTATTTCTTTAAAATATCACTGGGCCGGGGATATAGCTCAACGGCACAAGCGCCTGCCTGGCAAGCACAAGGTCCTGAGTTCGATTCCCGGTACCAAAAAAAGAAAAAAGAAAAAAAAAACCACCAATTCTGACAGTAAAGCCCACAAAGTATGTGTGCAAGATCTTTATGTGGAATTTTTTTTTACTTTATTGAAATACATTAAAAATAGATGGACAGATTGTCAGTTTCATAGGATTATTGATATCCTCTAAATTGATTTGTGATTCAGTGCAGATTCAGTGAAAATACCAGTGTTTTTATTTTCTTTGGAATTTCAAAAGCTGCTGTTAGATGTATGAGAAAGATGGCCCCCAAGCAGTCAAGATACTTAAGATGAACAGATGAGGCTGGGCTGGCATGGGAGGGATTTGCTCCTGCTAGTGATGAGACTTGATATAAAGCTAGGATACAAAGACCATGATACTTTGGCTCAGAGATTGCTAAATAAGTAAGTAGAACACATGTGGGTGTGAAAGACTAGGCAAGAATAATACCAAACCTTATAGCAGTGGAAAGAATCAAGAGCCTAGAATCAAAGCTCTCGTGTATAAAAAGTGATATAGGACAGAGAGGACTACAGCTCAATGGGAAATGGGTTAACACTTCAATAATCAATGTGAGTGTTAATTGGTGTCAGTGTAAGAAGTGATTGGATTTCAGTTTATACCATTCACAAAAAATTATCCCTTTTAAATGGATGAAAGACGTAAATATAAAAGGCAAAATTTAAAACTTATAGAAAGAAAATACAGATTACCCCTAAGACCTTGAGACAGGACTGATTTGCTAAATAAAACATGTAAAGCAACAGTCACAACTGTTAAGAAAATCTGTCAAATTAAGAGTTTTTGCCCATCATGCCTGTGCTGTGGCTGCATGTCTGAGGGAAAAGAGCAGCGTGAGTAAGCATGAAATGAACATGGAGGCAGAGGAAAGGGGCATGGAGGGCCTTGCTATCATACAGAACTTGGGCTTCTGTCATGCATGAGATAGAGTGGCAGGCCTTGGAGGAGGGGTGATGTGGTCTGACTGTGAGCACACCCTTCTGGCTGCCCTGCAGGGGATGTGGCATGGGGACATCCTTACCAGTTAGGAGCTGTCTCCATTGAGTTCTACCAGAAACGGAGCCTGAGATGAACTGGGTGTGAGTTGTTCATTTGGGAAGTGATCTCAGGAACATTGGATGGATGGTGAAGTCAGAGAGGGCATGGCAGAGACAGGTGGGGGTTACTGCCATGGTGGCAAGAGCGTAGTCTCGCTAGGGAGCCCAGAGTCAGTGTGGGATGTTCCCAAGCATTCTGTAGTGAGCCAGGGGAGCTGGGGGAAGTTTTTACCAGTTGCTGTCTATTGCTAGGTGAAGACTTCTGTGGGTGAAGGACAAAGAATGTTGAACCTTTGACACTTCTGGCCTGGGTTGGGAAAAAATGTAAACCCTGAAGTTAGCATTGGCCCTGAGAGGGTGAGCTGGGAGCTGTGGTGCTGCAGAGCATCCCTGCTGGCAGCCAGGCTATGGGAGCTGGATCCCAGATGAGAAACTTCTGAATTCAGATATAAGTAAAAGTTAGAGCAGTAAGTGGAGCAGATGTGGGTGTAAAAGACTAGGCAAGAATAATACCAAATCTTCTAGCCTGAGTGCTTGGAAAAATGGGTTACTATGAATCAAATGGGAAAAAATGTCAGGTTTCCAGGGGAATTGTCCAGCAGGCAGTTGGACAGATAGGCTTGAAGTTTGGAGCAGATTCATGCCAGTGACAAAAATTGGGAATTATTAGCATATGAAATGTTTTCAGGTGTATGAGACTGGGTGAGGTCAGTAAAAAGCGAGTGACTGAGCTGTGGAATACTCCAAGATTTAGTGACTTAGGAGAGGAGCAGGACCTAGTGAAAGAGGCTAGGCAAGCATGCCAGGGGAGAGCAAGGAGGTTTTCCAAACAACTGGCAAAGGTTAATGTCCAGAATGTGCAAGGGCCTCTGTGAGTCAGTAATAAAAACAAAAACAGACAAGTGGAAAAATGATCAGAAGGTACAATTGATTAGGCATTTTACAGAATAGAAAACATAAATGGCCAGTAAACCCAGGAAGATGTTCAACCTTGTTTATAATTAGCAAAATACAAATTGAAAGAACATTGAGATGCCATTTCACCTGCTGATTTGTCAGATGTTGGAAATTCTAACAATAGCAATTGTTGACAAAGATGTGGAGATCCAGAACTTGCCCACACATCTGGTGGGGGTGTCAATTGGTAGAACTGATCTCTCTGGAAGAGTTGACAGTACTTAGAAAGTTGGTGGTGTATCCACCTGCACCTCCACATCTTCCCACAGGTGGTTGTAGCAGTATTTTTCACGGTAACTGACACTGAGATGCCTGAGTACCCATCAGTGTAAGTGTGCCAACTGATGGGTGTCTAAATATACAGTGAGAGCAGCAGGCATGTATATGAATGGCATCCACACCTGTAAGATGCCTCTCAGAAACAGGGTCTGCTGCCAGCACAGAATTTGCACAAACTGTCATTACAGAGGCTAAGAACAAGCTGGCAATAATACATTCTAAAGATTTTGGTAAAACTGTAAGGGTAAGCAGTTACTGATAGGAATTAAGAATGGCTGCTGCATTCAGAAAACAAGGAGCAAAAGAAAACTTCACAAGGGATGCAAATGTTCTACTCTTTAAGCTGGATGATAAATATATGGATATTTATTTTTCTTTAATATATTTACACATATTGTTTTGGTTGTATGATGTTTCATGGTTTTAAAATGGTAATTAGACAAGTTAATTAGAAAATAGGAAAAAAAAAAAAAAAAAGCTTAAACCTGTCATTTAAATGAAAACCAAGAGGTGGGCATGGTGGCATATGCCTTTAATTCCAGCTTTCAAAATAAGGATGGGGATGTAGCTCAGTGCAAAGGCCCTAAATCCCAGTACTCTGTGCGTGCGCGCGCGCACACACACACACACACACACACACACACACACACACACGCACACTCCCCCCAAAACAAAATAGTAATTTTAAAAAAGAGATCAATTTGTTTTCATTCCACCAGCTCCTGATGCTGTGGCATTACCCAGGTGGTTTCCCCTTCACTGTGTGTGCGTCCCACCCAGAAATACTAGGCCCAGTGTGGTTTCCAAGGAGAAGGCTGGCTGAAATTCTGATACCTATGGGATTTCTTGGAAACAGGAATCTTTATTCATCCAGATAAAGTGATGTAAAGTTGTAAGAACAGCTCTAGGGCATTCTGCATGTGTTAGCCTCCATTCCAGAAAAGAGACCTCCAAACTCTTGCCTGTAGAGGGAGCATAAAGAGGGGGGTCTGGAAAGGGGTTGTGGGCTGACATCCCAGACATGGACAGCTGTGTTCCCACAGAGGCCTTCTGCAGTGCAGGCAGTGGAAATAACCCATTGGTTGTGTCAGGCCTAACTTCAAGCAAGCACTACTTGGCAACCACTGTCCACCGTGGTGCCTGGCAGAGATGGTAGGAAGGAGAGCGAGAAGCTGCCTGGTTTGCAAGCTCAGCTGTCCTTTGGCCACTATTGCTCTTGGAGCTCAGGTCATCTTCCTGTTCTGCCTGAAGGAGAAAAGATGAAAAGAAAGCCATCATGTGGATTGGTGGTGTTTGTCTGTGTGTTTGTTTTTCATTTGGAGCCACTTCATATGTTTACTTGGTGAATGCACTTTTTTTTTTCGGCAAAAATATGAGTGTCAGTTTCCATCCCCAACTTGAAAATCAAAACAGAGCAATAGTCTTAGCAAGGGCGTCTTTAGAGAGGGCTCCAACCATGCACAAAACTGACATTGATGTCTTTGCCTGGAAATAAAAAAAAAATAAGTGTCTGTGAGTCATCTTTGGATTTGCATTACAAACAATGCAAATGGGTGCCACTCTGCATAGCTTACAGATTTCAAAAATATGTTTTGATTTGATGCATTTTAAGAAAATACGCAGTTAACTAAAAATCCTAAAATTTTCTAGTTAAGTATTCAGAGTTTGAGTTTTTGCTTGTGTTGTTGACTCATTTTCTCTTTTGTTTTCTGTTTTGTTCTTGATTTACCTTAACCTACCTGCTGACTCACGCCACCCAACCAACATACAATGCGAAAACCCATGTCTCCGTCTGTATGTTGCGCACCTGCTGCTCAAACCACCCTAATTTGTAAATAATACGCAAATACCCATCCATGAAAACATCACATATAGGAAACGGTTGGTTTCATGACTTTAAATGGTTCTTATGATGCCTTCCTCTGCCTGCTCTGCTCTCCTCTCATTTCTGGGGTTCCTGCCATTGCCCTTTGAGGCGTGGCTGGATTCTGCTGCACTCACTCGCCTCTGGCCTCTTGTGCACTCTCCCCAGCACCCAGGATCCAGCAGGGGCTTCTGAGGGCCTCCCGGAAGCTGTGTGAATCTAGGACCAGGCCAGGGAGGGGAGGTAGGCAATTCTGCGGTGGTGGTGGGTAAGTGCCCAGGACAGATTTTCTTGCCAAGCCTGGCAGGAGGAGACTGGTCTGGGTCCCTGCAATTCTGTGGTTTCTGTTACACACTTACCTCCTCTCTGCTGTCCCCATCTTGCCAACACCCAAAGAAGGTTCAGCTTTGCGCAGTTGGCCTCTGTGAAGTCCCCTGTAGCAGCTCTCCTTCCTGAGCAAGTCCTTCTACAGGAGTCAAATTGAGGGTACAGGTTTGGAGATTTGGACTCGATGATTTGGAAGTGCTATGAAAGGCCTGAGTAGAAGCAGGGGTCCTGCCCTAGTAGATAGCAGAACCCAGGGCTTCCAGCCATGTGTCACTAACCTATAGAGTGCAGGTGCACCTGGGCCTTCTGCCAGGTCTTCAAGAATTTTGAGGAGCGAGTAAGGGTGTTTGGTACAACTCAGCTTCAGCTGTGGCTGGAAATTCATCTAAAGGAGCAGGTATTTGAGGTTCCTTCATAGAGGCGGGAGGTTTGTCATGCAGGTTTTTACAGCTGGAGAGGGAAGCTTGAGTTTTGAGAGAACAGCACTGGATGCTGCAGAAGTATCCAGGCCATCAGCTCAGGCCAGGGAGCTGCCACCTCTTGTGAGGGCCCTTCCTGCCCACTTTTCCTTCTCCTCCATCTAGCACACATGACCAGGTGTGTGACAAGTGTGTGTATGCACATTTTCTTTCCTTTTTAAATCCATCAGTCCCCACTAGAGTGAAGGCAAGAGAGCAGCTTGCTTACAACTGCAAGACCTCCTCTGGCATGGTGCATGGCCAGCAGTGTCCATGGATCTGGGTTGAGTGCCCAGGTGACGTTCAGGAGCAAGGTCTCACACCCTTGTGACTGGCCAGAGGTCGTGGTGGCCTTGGGTGCCAGGTCTGGTCCTGGCTGGGGTGAGCTTTGTAGGGCAGCGTCCTTCACAGTTTGGCACATGTTGTGATTCTTGTCCTTGATTATCTCTTACCGCCTGGACGTGGATGACCCTAGTGCCTGAGCATGGTTTTCTGTGAGGGGGCAGAGGCTAAAGGGTTAGGTGATGTCCCCTTAAATGAGTCTTCCTTAAATAGAGTGATGTCTGACTGAAAGTAAGGTGACAATAAGGACCAGCCTGGCCTTGAACTGGGTGTATCAGCTTCCTGTGCAGCAGAAACCACAGACCCTGGGAGGATGTGGCAGGTTGTATCCACCTCTGAGAGGTTGGCCGAGGCCAGAGGTGATGGTACATGGTTTTTACAACCCTGTGCTTGCTGTCCCCTTCCATCCTGCATGTGAAGTGCCTACGCCATCACTGTGTGTGGGTGTCTATAGCTGTAGCCATCTATCTTCACAGCACTCCAGGGTTGCCTGTCTGTTGCCAGGCAATAAACTCTCTCCTGAGTACTCAGCTGGGAGAAGCGGGTAGGAACCTGTTCCCAACACAGGCTGTTATGTGTCCCCAGTTCAGGTCCTTTAGATGAGCTGTTGTTCTTCACAACTCTTGCTCACCTGCTCTGTCATCTTTTATCCCTTATTTCATTCCAGGAGCCTTCATTTTCCCCATATCTTCAGGAAATCCTGTCTGTGCCAGCTGTCCAACTGCAGATGACTTTGAGCTGGGCAGGCTCAGAGTTGTTACAGTCCCTGTCCCTTCAGACTCATCTGAGCATGTGCTTTCAAAGTGGAACCTCAAAGAGGTTGGACACTTGTCCCCCACCCTCTGCCATTTTATACAGGGATTGCCTGACCCTGAACACAGTGTCCTATACCCCGCCAATCTGCTGAGGGTGGGCTTGTTTGTGTCTCTTCAGGCCCCACAGTGAACCCTGAGCATTCTTGGGCACCATGAGATTCTCTTTCCTCAGCCATGTGGGTCAGGGAGCTACAGGTGCAGCAGTGCCCCTTCAAACATTGTGGCCTAAAGCCTGTCCCACCTTGCTGATGTGGACAGTGGGGCCTCTTGTGCCCCCTGAGCCTGCTGGCATTTTTCAAAGTCAGTTCCACCTCCAGGGTTCCCACATGCCACTTGGGTCCTTCTGGGTAGCTTAAGTCTCCCACTGCAGCAACAGACCATAGACCCTGCCACCCTGGGGGGAATCACAGAAACCTTCCTCTGAGCGTAGAGGTGGCAGCTAGAACAGAGATGTCTTAGAAGTCAGTGTGAGACCCAATCCTCACCTGGCCAAGACAGGCAGCCCTGGAGCATCTACCCAGGTGTCCCCTAGCCCTGTGCTTGCATGTGCTCTTCCTCTACTGCTGTCTCATTCAACATCTGTGTTCTCTTTTCTCTTTATTTGATCACTGAATATGACAACACAAACGTGTGTGAGCCTGAGCTGCTTGCATATTAAAAATACCAAACCGGCAGGAGCCTGCCCTCAGACCAGGTACCTGGTTTTGAAGTAGATAGGCAGAAAGTGCCTGGCTCCGTGGAGCCACACTCCCTTGAAAAAGGCTTGCCTATAATTCAAGGTACCTGGCTGGGTAAGCCTCACTCCCAGGTAATCTTTGGAATCTGGGTTTATCAGTTTATCTCTGTGCTTGATTTTGAGCAGCACTAGACAGTGGGGGTTCTCTGGAGCAAAGACCTGGGGACTGAGGGTTGCACAGGTAGTTTCCAAGGCAAGAGCTGCACAGAGGCTGTACCTACCCTTTCTCTGACAAGAGCAGCCCTGGAGGCGGCGGCTGGGGTTCCAGGCAGGCAGGGACTTCACTGGCTAAGCCTGGAAGGGAAGGGTGGGCAGGGGAGTCCCTTGCCAGGGTATCCCCCTGGAGAGGCAGTCATTTTCAGCTTGTCACCTAGACAGCTTGGCTATGTCCTGTGAGAAGTGGTCACTATTGTAGGTCTCCAGGTCATCTCCTCTCAGGCTCACCTGGCAGCAGAGTTGCCTCAGGGAGCTTCTGTCCTTCATGATGGAGGGTAGCCCTAGATTTGCTGTATAAGAAGTGACGCACAGTGACAAGCTTTTCTTTTGAAGGCTTTTTGTTGGCCAGTTGCTGCTTAGACTGTGAAGCAGTAGCTGTTTTGGTTTCTTTTTAAGCACTTGTCCTTGAGACCACAGGGACTCAGGGAGAGCTCGTGGGGTGGAAGCAGCTTGCCTGCACTTTTGGGAGGTGATTTCTGAAGGTCAGAGAGCAATCCTTCTTCTCTGCAGAACAACTTCATCAACCTCAGCTTCCTGCGTCTCTTCAGAGCTGCACGGCTCATTAAACTGCTCCGCCAAGGCTACACCATCCGCATCTTGCTGTGGACTTTTGTCCAGTCCTTCAAGGTGAAGTGGGGCGCCAGGGTGGGACAGCTCTCTGCAGGTCATTTACGTCCCTCTTCGTCACCTTTCCTGCCCCACCCCAGCAGTCCCCTCCTTTGGCAGGTTGCATAGGAATAGGGCATGTGTGTCTTCATTGGCACCTGTGGTCCTATTGCAGTTTATAGAAGTATTTTGAGTGACCTATAGATTATCTTGTGAATACCCACAGAAACTCTTAAGGTGAAGTTTATAATCCCAATTTATAGGTGAAGAAACAGGGCTGTCCTTTGGCAGAGGGGTCTGGTAGTCAGGGGGTAGAGCTATTCCAGGCTAAGATCTGTGGGTTCTCAGACACAGCTGGGAGCTGATATGCCTGTGTCTCCAGGCGCTGCCCTACGTGTGCCTCCTCATTGCCATGCTGTTCTTCATCTACGCCATCATCGGCATGCAGGTAGGTGCTATCTGCTTATACAGTACTATGCCTGGGGCTCCTGTTCATGGGAGCATGAGGGCATGTATTATGGTCATTAAATGGTGATAATAATAAGCTGACACTTCCTGAACATTTGCTGTGAGCCAACTACTGAGAGACCTTGACCTTCAGAAGCATTGTTTCAGGTTGGGAGGCACCAAGGTTGGGCTGCTCCCAGTGTTCCTCTTCGCGGGAAAGACCAGTTCTCTGCCTACTTCTGGCTCTCCAGAAAGCCGTACTGCAGTGTTCTTGAGGGTAGCCTTTAGGCCCAGCAGTGTTAGGGTGTTGGGGTGTGCAGGGCTGGATTAGAAGTAGATCCTAGGATGCAAAGCAGCCTCCTGGCCATTCTCTTAGACTGGTAGGGATGAAGGACAGCTCCTGACATATCATAGGAGATGCTATGCTTCCAAGGAGTCCTGCTGGGGCATGCGAGTAGGATGCCATCAGGTCACTGTACTTTGACAAGTTCAACTTGCATAATTTAGCATATCTTTATTTTGCCAAAGAACACTTTGTAGCCATTCCAGAGGTGGGTATTTTAAAAATGTAACAGTCTAGCTATAGAGCTTAGGCATCTGGTCACTTCCCAACAGCAGGAGTGGGAGACTGAGTGGTAATTTATGATTGGAAGTCCCAGTATCTTAAAGTTGAGCTGATTCCTAAACTCTGATTACAAAGATTGAAAAGTTCTTCTACTTTAAAATTTGCTGAGATTTCATACTATATATTATATAATTTTGCTTTGGTCTATGGATGTACAAGAGCATGTATGTTGCTGATCTTTGTGGAAAAGTGATAGTTTATAAGTTTGCAGCCAGCTTCCAGGTTTTAGGCTGAGTGTGGTCCTTGATTCATTTGTATTTTTTACCCTGAATAAAATCAATTAGAATGTATGAAAAGCCTGTTCCACTATTTGCACAAAGGTTTCAAAAGAAATTCTTCAGTGAACTCTCAGAGCTGTTACAGTATAACTCCTGATTTGGGATAGTGACTAAGCATGACCTGAAATGGATCTTGTCCTACACACAGTAGAGCCAGGCCCCCTCCCAGGGACAGGCTGGAGCTGGCTAATGAGGAACTCAGGGACAGAAGTTTTCAGCTAGCAAGTGGTTGTGGTAGGAATGCACACTGGACCCTGGCAGCCCCCAGGTGGCATAATACACCCTCTCTTGCTCAGCCTCCTGCCACGGCTTGTGGGACTTGCTATGTCAGAATGCTGTGATTCTCCATTTCAGGTGTTTGGAAATATTGCCTTGGATGACGACACCAGCATCAACCGGCACAACAACTTCCGGACGTTCTTACAAGCCTTGATGCTGCTGTTCAGGTGTGTTGTATGGTCAGCCCAGGCCAGTGTCCATGCTTCATCAGGATGGAGGAGGGTGGGTGCCACATGATGACCCCCTCGCTGCACCCCCTGCCTCCTGCTGCTTCCCCTTGGTGGACCTTTCCAGTTCTTTCTCTCTGCTCATTCCTTTCAAAGGGTTCCTGCTGTCTGCCACAGCCTCAGGACAGAGTGTAGAAAGCCCGCCAGGGAGAGAACTAGGGATCCTTGGGCCAGCCTGCACACCACTGCCTTGTTTCTGTTCCCTGGTGACATCATAATGGGCTTCAGTGAGGCTAGGGGGACAGGAGATGCTTGGCAGGGTCTTGCTTGGGGTGTTGGTCTTTAGCTTTCCTCCTGTAGCTTTACTGATACAGGGGTGGCGAGGGTGACGGAGAGATAGACTTTAAAAAGAACAGCTGTTGACAGCAGCTGCTCAGTGGCCCAAGGAGCCCAGTAGGCCAGAGCTGCTTGTCTGAATATACTTCTGCCACCCACCCTCAGTTCCCGTCCCCTGGATGCAGGAGCAGTAAGGCAGGAGGCCGGAGCAGGAGGCCCTTGGCACACACTTTAAGGCCTTCAGATGCATCCTTGGAAGTGGGGCCAGTCCCAGCTGCTGTTCCCAGATAGGACATGCCTCTGTGGACTAGACACTGACCTGCCTCATTTGAGTGTGACCCTTCAGGCAAGAAGGAGGGCTGAATATGTTTTCCTGCCTCCTGAGTCTCTCTCATTTTGCCACTTATGATCCTGGAACAGGGGGGAAAAAGCTTTTGCAGGAATTTATGGTGAGGATACTGACATTAGGCCCTGCCTTGTTTCTTTATACAAATATGCTGGGCTGCTGCAGAGCTAGCCCTGGGGCTGCTCCAGTGCCTTGCCAGTGCGGCAGTTTCCTGGGAGGAGCGTAAGCTCAAACCCAGACTTGCTCTGCCAAGCTGCCTGGAGAACATTTTCTGGTTCTTGCTTCTTTGCATGAGATGAGCAGGTATCTTCAGGTGCATGTTTTCTGGTTCTTGCTTCTTTGCATGAGATGAGCAGGTATCTTCAGGTGCATGCTTTCCCCAAATGTTTCTCTGGGTTTCAGTTGCATTAATTTTCTTTCTTCACTTATTCTGTCAAATGCCACAAAGATTGGAGGCAAACCTGTGATGTCAGCCTTAGTGTTAGGTCTTTGTTCCTAAAGAGCTCTGTCAGTCTGGGCTGTGCCCAAGGTGTTGGAGGAGGGGAAGCTGGAGTAGCCTGAGCAGAGACAGAGAGGGACGAGGCTGGGAATAGAGTAGGCTGCCAGCAGCCCAGAACTGAGCAGTGTCAAGATCCATCCTGCCTCCCATCATGGCTGCTCAGGAAGACCACGGTTGCCTGGCCCCAGCTGAACAGAGAAAGCTTGGCTGTTTCGTCAGGCAGCTGAGCTGATGGGCAAGATTTTGAGACAAGGGTGTGCAGCAGCTTGGGCCCAAGCAGCTGGAAAGGCAGAGCCCCGCTTCTTGAAATGAAGATAAAGATGGTACAGGTCAGGAGTCTGCTAGGCCAGACTGCTCACTGTGGCACTGATCCTAGGGCAGTAGACACGTAGTAACTACTTCTCAGGTAACAGTCAGTTTAGAAATCTAATGTCAGAGGAGTCTTTTGAAGAAGGAGTCATCTGTCACATAGGCCTTGCCTATATGTGGGGACCCAGGAAGTAGGGGGCATTCACCCAGCTCTCCAAGGGTCCAGCTCCCTCAGTTCATGGCTGGTGTGCTGCAGACCTTCCCTCCGGCCCTGCCATGAGTTTACACCTCTGCCCTTCTCTTCAGGAGTGCCACGGGGGAGGCCTGGCACGAGATCATGCTGTCTTGTCTGAGCAACCGGGCCTGTGATCTGCATGCCAATGCCAGCGAGTGTGGGAGTGACTTTGCCTACTTTTACTTCGTATCCTTTATCTTCCTTTGCTCCTTTCTGGTAAGACCTGGTCATTGTGCTTGTGTTTGCCTGTCTCAGTTTATCTTGAGGCTCTGTATCTGTTGGTCCTTGGCTTTGACCCATACCATATCGCCAGTTGATCCCATGGTGACGGCCTCCATTCCCCCAGAGCCAATGACTTCATTAGCCCTGGAAAGAACCCAATGAGAATGAGCTCCTGCAGGCTCCTCATTAACCTCCATGGGAGGATTAGGTTTTCAGGGGGCAGTTGCCTCTTGGTGTCCAGCTGCTAGGAAGGTGTCCACTGTGTGGTGGGATGTGGAAAGCAGCCATCATGACAGTGGTGTGATTGGGTCAGAGAGGTGGACTGATGGGTCCCAGCAGTGTGGGTCCTACTCTAGGTCACTGGGGCCCTGCAGCCTTGGCACAGGGGTGTACTGTGATCTGCTCAGTGTTTCACAGCTTAGCTGTGGTGAGGGAAGGGACCACAGAGTAAGCAGGGGGGCAGTGGCTTAGAGTATGGGGACTGGGATATATTTTACAGGTAGAACTAACCTGATGAAGAAAAAGAAAA